CGAGGGGTGGGGGGGGGGGGGGGGGAGCCCAGCATCGCCCCCTTCTCGGGCTCTGGCTGGACCCACCAAAGGGGGACCAAAGGAAAACAACAACACTAGCTAAGACTCTCAGGACCCCGCGGAACCCCGACTGCGGTGAGGCCTGGGGTGAGTCTTACGTGCGGAGAAGCCCAGTGTGGCTGGTTCCTCTCCTGCTTCTGGGTGACCTCCAAGCCTCAGCATGCCTGCCTGGGAAATGGTCCCTTCCTCTGGTGTCCCCTGGCTGCCAGGCAATGTCCCTTGGCTCCTTGTCCCTTTGCTCTGAGAGCCAGTAGTCCGCCTTTTGGCCTGGCTGCAGCTACAGGTACAGCTGGTGCCCAGGGACTAGGGAATAGGAGGTTTCCCACCTTTGAAGGTTCCCTGCATTCCCTTCAAGGTGTCAGTTGCCCACCTGTCACCTGTTTTTATTTGTTTTCCAGGGCTACCAGGGGTCGAACTCAGGACCTTTCAGTTTTGAGACAGGTGTGGACCCACTGAGCTAAAGCCCCAGCCGACTGATTGGTTTGTTTTTTGAGAGAAGGTCTTGCTATGTAGTTCAGCCTAGCCTCAAACTCACTATGTAGCTACATAATGTGTTCAAAGAGAACCTAGACTACACAGTGAGGAGACCCTGTCTCAAAACAACAACAACAAAAGCTAAAAAGATAAAAGCGTAGGCTTTTCGATGAGGGAGGCATGGCTCAGGATTTGGGGACAGTCTTACCTTTCTCCTTTGCTTCCTACACAGGACACAAATGCCACTGTTGCTGCTGACACCCACCCCTGGAGCTGTGAGCCGAGAGCTTTATGCTCATCTCTTCTTGAGCAATGTGAGGGGAGAATTAGTGTCCTTTTACAATGGGCAGATTTATTGCTCGGGCTTGGGTGACTGAGTCCAGCTTGGTTCACCTGAGGCTTAGTGTGAGCACAGCCCTGGATTTCATCCCCAGCACTGCAAGAAAACACAAAAAAGAAACTGTGTGTCACCTGGCCTTGAGCCATACACCTTGCAGGTGACTGTCCTGTTCTCAGTGTGGGCCCAGGCCCATGTGCAGCAGGTCCAAACTTTATTGCCCTCAATAAATACTTCTCAAATGAGCAAAGGAATACGTGTCTGGATCCCACCCAGCGCTTCCCCAGCACTTGCCAAGACACCCAACCCCTGGTATCAGTGGTGCGGCCTGTCCCTTTGGTTCTTGGAGCTCAGTTTCCTCACCTCCAGGATAAGAGTCATGAACTAGCACTCTGGGCGGCTGTGGCAGGAGGATCACAAATTTGAGCCCAGCCTGGGCAATTTAACAGCCTCTCAATCCCCAAAACACAAACAAACAAACCAAAGTTCTCAAGGTCACATAGACAGTGAGAGCCAGGCCAGCATTTTTGGCATCTGCACTCTCAAAGAATTTAGCCCAGATGATGGCTGTTGTCAGTGATATGGGCAGATAGAGGCATGAAGTGGAGAAAGACTCCTGAGGTCTTGCGGGACGCCAGGGGCCCTCTCTCCAGGGCTGCACCTCTCCACTCAGGGTGGCAAGACGGTGTAAGGACAAGTCCTTTGCTCATGCCATCCCTTCCACTCCATTGGCTGGCTGCCCGTCTCCTCTGCCAGCCACTGTTCCTGTGGGCTGGCCAATCTGGGGCACAGTCCAGGACACTGTGTCCAAAGAGCGGTACTAGTGCAGCCCCCTCGTGTGCCACTGAACTGCCCCACCCCTGGGGCCTTGAGCCAAGCTCGTCTCTCCCCAGCCCTGGCATGGACTGGAGGTCAGAGCTGCCCTCGCACAAGCTGAGACAGTGCCTTCCTCCTTGCAGCCTTGCTTGAATCCATGAGGACAACTTCAAGTCCCTGGGTCAGGCTCCCGGGTGCCTCTTGGAAGCAGCTCAAATGCCCGCTTTTTCTGCTCGTGACGTTTGTGCGGAGAGCCCCTTGGGCAGAGAGCCAGCTCTCTGGCTGCACTGGGGAGCTGGGCACAGCCTTGCTCCACGCAAGCTGAGCTGCACAGAGAGGGCGAGCTTCCTGCAGAGCCATAGCAGAGGCTGCAAGGAGCAAGAGGGGCTGAGGGCCAGGGGTGGTCGGGGGTGTCCTAAAAGAGAAGGAGCGCAAAGACACAGGCCTGCTCCTCCAAGTTTCTCTCTCCAGTCCAGGGCTTGATTTAACTGCCACCTCCCAGAGAAGCCTTCCACGGCCCCAACCCTGCATTGTACAGCAAGGGTCCCTGGCACAGCTCTCTGCCGTCTCTCCTTGCTGTGTTCCCTGAGGATGTGTCTAGACATGGATGTCCTCTTTCTTCCTCTCTTCTTTTTATTTTGCATCAGTGGGGATGGAACCCAAGCCCACATGCAAACTTAGGCAAGCACTTTATCAGTATGCTACATCCCCAGCCCTTTTTATTTTGAGACAAGATCTGGCTGAGTTGCTCTGGCTAGGCTCAAATTTATAATCCTGCTGTCTCAGCCAGGTAGCTGGGATTATATGCTTGCTCTGTTGTTCCAGTCCAGTGGAGGTTCTTTATATATTGTGGATACAAGCCCTAATATTTATGATTTGAAAATATTTTCTCCCTCTCTGTGGCTTATCCTTTCATTCTGTTATCAGTGTCTTCCTTTTTTTTTGTTTGTTTTTGGTTTTGGTTTTTGAGACAGGGTCTCACTATGTAGTTGAGACTGACCTGGAACTCACTATGTAGCCCAGGCTGGTCTCGAACTCTCAGTGATCCTCCTGCCTCAGCCTCCTGAGTGCTGGGATTACAGGTGTACATCACCACACCCAGCTTTATCAGTGTCTTCCTAAAACAGGTACTTAATTTTGGTGACATCAATTTCTCCATTTTTCTGTCTTGGATCATGGCTTTGGAGGATGTCTAAGAAATCTTTGCCTATCTCAAGACCACAGAACTCTTCTGTCTTTGAAAGGTTCTATATTTTGGGATTTTACCTCTGACCTCTGAATAGCTCTTGTGGCCTAAAGAAGTATCCAAGCCATACAAGGTATGGTGGCAAAAACCTGTAATCTCAACTACTCAGGAGGCTGAGGCTGGAGGACCTGAAGTTCAAAGCCAGCATGGACAATCTAGCGAAACCCTGTCTCAAAATTTAGAAAAGTTCTGAGGGTGTACCTCAGTAGTAGAGTAGCATATGTGAGGCTCTAGTACTGCAAGAAAAAAAAAGTCAAGGCCTGGCACAAAGGAAGAGGTCTGAGAAGGTTTGTCGATTTTATGTGTGAGAGAAAGCTCTCTTGGGGTAAGATAAAATTCCAGCCCCCAGGTTGTTCCGTGGTAGAGTGCTTGCCTAGCACAAGGCACCAGCACTGAAAAAAAAAATTCCATCTGGGGTGCAAGGCCCATGATGTGACCTTGGGACCTCTTCAAGGTCACCTCGTACCCCTACCCTGAGCAACTGTGCTTGTTTCTACCTCTCACCTTTTGAAGCATCCAGTCCCTCTACCTTCCTACTGCTGTCTGTTCTGTTCAATATTTGCCAAAGGATCTTGGAAATCAGATCACAGATTGAAAGCCCCTTGGTCAGAAAGGCCTCCCTTGCCCTGACCATGCTATAAGGCTTACTTGGTCATCATTGGTTGTCAATGCCTTTTTTTTTTTTTTTTTAAAGATACGGTCATCATAGGCAGTCCTGGCTGGCCTTAAATTTGAGATCCTCCTGCTCCAACCTCCTGAGTGTTGGGATTATAGGCATGCACTACCATACCCCACTTGATTGGGACTTTCTACTGAAACAGCCTTAATTTGCCATTTTCTCATTTGTGGTCAACAGAATCTTGAATGAGAGACTAGGGACTTTTTTCTGCCTAGAGCAGTGTCAGCATTTATGGAAGCTCCGTGTTGCTTTATTTTTTCACTTGTGCTAGGGATGGAATCCAGGGCCCCATGCGTCATGGCAAACCCTACTGCTAAGCAGCACCCTGGCCCCTGGGCTGCATGTTGAATGCTGAGTGTGAAACAGAGGATGTGAGGACAGAGCTGGAAGAGGACCTGGATGTCTAAGGCCACCTCGCCAGGCCTTTTCTCTAGGCCAGACTTCCTTGCCTGCCATGGCCCCCCAGGAGTTTGATAAGCTTCTTGTGCCTTGAGGGCATCCAGCAGGGCCAGTCTGTCACTTTATCCCCCTCTCCCGGGGAAAGGTGCCACCACAAAGCGTCCTCCTCCTATGCTCCTTCTCAGAGCAGGGAGAGGTGCCCGTCTGGGGAGCAGCCTGCCTGGCCTAGCTGGAACGGAGCCGCCCCCATCACACCCATGGGAAATATGTCAAGAGAGGTTCAAGGTTACACAGTGAATTAGCAACTTCTGTGACCTGGAGCCCAGTTCTCTCACTGGCAGTGAAATTCTCCAGATGAAAAGCAGGGCAGGCTCAGGTCACCCGGGGCCTTGGGGACTTCCGGCCTGGGTGAAGCTTGTCCACAGGTTGCACCCAGGCAGAACTTAGCCAGTCTGGCTGGCCAGGCCCAGGGCAAGGAGGGCGGGCGCCCTTTTATCCTAGGCTCATTCATGGGGAAGGAGCAATGGTGGGGACCAGACGGTGGCATCCCTGGGCTTAGGGGCGCTGACTCAGGCAGTGGAGTTTGCCAAGTGACTCACCTGCTGTCTGCCTGTCCGCCTCTTCCTCTCCAGGGAAAAACTCCCAGAGGTTTTGGGGACACGTGTGGAGGGCCTGCCCCCTCCTGGAGAGGAGGGGCGTGAAGTTCCCTGGCAGTATGGTCTCTTGCTACCACCAAGGCAGAGGGCAAGGAGAAGCAGCCCTAGCTCTGCCTCGATTTCCTTTTCCGCCCTACTTGGTCTTGCTGCTGGTGAACTTGGGGTTTGGCCTGTTTGCTGAAGCTGGGAAGCTGCTGGGCTGGGCTGGCTGGTGGGATTGTGGATGGGCAGTAATGACCACGATGATGAAAATGCTACTTGCCGCTTACTTGTTTACCTCAGACCAACTTGTGCACTCAGCATTTTCCACTCATTTCATTTTCTCAAGGAGGTAATTTATTAGCCCTTTTTTAGAAGGGAGGGAACTCGGGCCCCAGGGACAGTGCGGTGATTTGCTCAAGGTCCTCCACCTGGGAAGTGGTAGCGGCGGACCTGCAAGCTGTGCTTTTGGGTTATCTTTTGGCTGAAAGAAATAAGTAGGGGAAGGGATGTCTTACGATGTAGCCCAGGCTGGCCTTAAACTCAGGTGATCCTCCTGCCTCAGCCTTCTGAGTGCTGGGATTACAGGTGTGTGCCACCACCCCTGTAACTGAGCTAAGGGGATCCTTTCTCTTTAGTGTTTGCTGGGTTCCCTGGGGAGGGACACCGCCTTGCCTTTTTCCCTGCTGCTCTCTCCACCTCCTCCAGAAGGCTGTCTCAGATCTAGGGGTACCTAGGCCCCTTGTGCAGAGTTGTCCTCAAACCGCTTTCCAACTTGTGTTCCCAGGGCAGAGCGGATGTACATGGAGAGTTTGTCTCTAACATAAATGAGCCATGTGTAGTGGTACACACTTGTAACCCCAGCACCTGGGAGGCTGAGGCAGGAGGATTAGTTTGTGGCCAGCCTAGGCTACCCAGTGAGTTCCAGATCAGATGGGTCTTAGGTGGGCTGGAGATTTAGCTCAGTGGTTCCGCTGCCTACCTCACAAGTGCAAGGTCCTGAGTTCCATCCCTGGTGCCAAAAAAAAAAAAAAAAGAAAAATCAGCTCGCTCTACATTGTGAGACCTTGTCTCACACCCCCTCCTCCAAATAACATAAATGAAGCTTTTTTTAGAGGTGGAACAGGAAGAGGTGTTAGTGCAGGTAACTGAGCCTACCAGATTCTTTTTTTTGATCGAACTCGGGACCTCGCACTTGCAAGACAGGTGGGTGGGGGAACCACTGAGCTAAATCCTCGGCCCCTGAGCCTACCAGATTCTTCCTTTCCTTCAGGGCAGAAGCCACAGGCAGTCCCCAACAGGTTGGGGTCTCTTGATCCCCTTCAGAGCCAGTTACACTTGGAGAAGAAATGGAGGTCTGAACATGTAAGCGAATCACTTGTGTAGAAGGTAAGTGTCATCCACTGGCTTGGACAGCACCACAGCCCTTCAGGTCTGTGACAGTAAATCCGACAGGTGACTGTGGCATCTGCTGTCAAGACCTGTGTCTATGGTAATGCAAATCAGAAGCAGCAGGTGAGGAGCTTTTCCACCCAGGTTGAGGGGCCCACGCCCAGTGGGCAGCCTGGACACAGGACAGGCTGGGCCTCTTGCTGTTAGGACAGAGGGCGAGACCCTGAAGAGGACTGGTGGCCAGGCCAAGGGTCTAAACCTCAGGCTCCTGGGCCAATGTCTAGAGGTCAAAATTGGGCTCGGGGGCTCCTAGCTCCCACATGGGGGTGGCGAAGTATTGGCCTGTTGATGCCCCCAAAGCCCTGCTTGTCCCCTGTGGAGGTGCTGCTATTCCACAGCAATTATCACAGCTCTAGCAAGTACTTAAGGTGTCTGAAAGGTGGGCACTGTTCTCCGGACACTGTACTCCAGACTACAGGGTCGACTAAACAACACCAGGCACAAGTCAGACTTGCAGCCTCACCACACATTGGTTCTGAGTTTAGGCAGCTTATCTGTCTCAGCTGTGAGATAACCCCTTCGTAGCAGTCAGGCTGCTGATGGTTAACTAGGATTCCACAAATACCTTCAAGTACCCTGGGCCCAGCTGAGCTCAGGGGCTTGGGTGGCACTGTCATCAAGGGAGGTGGTGGCTGAGACCGAAAGGAAACTGGCCCCTGATGGAACCTCGTTCCAATGTGCACAGGACAGGGTGTGAGCTCTAAAAGAATTTGTGCCATCAGTCAGTTCTGTTCACCTGGGGCTGTCATCGTGAAGATCACCAGATGTCTCCTCAGGCCTATGGGGTCAGGGCCCCCCGCCTCTTCTCCATTCCAAACGGGACCCCAGAAGCACAACAAACTAGGAGCAAGCAGAGGGCTATTATATATCATGCTTTTAATACAAACTTAAAAAAATCTGGAACAATATAAACTGTACAGATTTGATCAATCTTTTTGTTTTGTTTTTAAACTAAATCTCTAAACACACCAATGTTCCATTCCAAAATATTGCACAACATTCTGAATACAAAATGCTTGATTGTATTCCTCCTTCACTAAAGAAAAAAAGGTTATTACCCTGCTCCCCTAGCCCCTCTCCACGCTTGCCTCAACGTCCCCTTCCCATCCCTAGTCACTGCATTGAGAAAAAGACACCATTCTGGACTGACAGTGTACACTCTTTACGAGATACTCCACCTTCAACTTGTTCCCGGGAAAGAGGGAAAGGATGGGGAAAGGGGAGAAAGAGGTTGTATTCTCCTTTTTTTATTTTAAAGTTTGTTTTTTCCTGAAAAAATATTGGTTTTTCTCTTTTTAAGAAAAAATCTTGAAAAGAAAAAATTACGTTTCTTACGTTAGAAATATACATATATTATATATACCTCTTACATTTTACAAATGTAGCAAATTATTCAATACAAATAGACACCAAAAATGTAAAAAAAAAAAAAAAAAATAAAAAAAAAAAAAAAAAAAAAAAAAAAAAAAAAAAAAAAGAAGAAGAAGAAGAAAAAAAAAGTTTTCCTACGAAACCAGGTAAATTAGTGCAGGTTTTTGTTTTCTTAAAAAAAATAAAATTGAAGCAAAAATGCCTGGATTTGAGACAAGACTGAGCTGGGCCTGAAGCCCAGGCTGGAGTCATGCTCCTGAATACACATTTTTCTTCGGATTTCCAAAGACACCAGGGGCTGTCTTCCTGGCCCTGGTGTACTGAGCACTGGGAAACCAGGCGGCCTGCGTGCAGGTGGCTCCTGTGTGCACAACGGGGCTGCGAGGGTCTAAGGCAGATCCAGCCTTTCCCAGAGAGATGTGTCTGCCTGGACTGTCACCTGCGTGGGAGCTGAGGAGGAGGGCAAGGATGGCCCAGACTGGGTGGACTGGTGCAGCGGGATAGAGAAGCCAGGGCCTTGCGCCACCAGGGGAGGTACAGCTGGTGCCCAGTGCAGGGAGAGGCTGGGTTGGACCCACTGCCGCCACAGTGCCCGCTTGGGGCCCCTGGAAAGATGGTACAGGGCAGGGTGCAAGGGCTTTGGTGCTTTCTGGTGATGGAGCCCTGATGCCAAGCACTCCGCTTACCAAAGCATCAGGGCAAGAAAGCTACCCACTGGGCTAAAGAAACCCCTCTTCTGCAGAGGCAGCAGGGTGTGCGTGCACACATTCTTGTGGCCCAAAGGTTCAGAGGGCACTGGCTGTCCTGCCCGGCCGCCCAGGGAACTGCCTCACAGCATCAGGGTCTGGGCTTGAGTGAGGGCAGCCAAGAGGTACAAGACGCTCATAGGCAGGGCACCCATGCACTGAAATGCCGCCTATGACCAGAAGACCAGGAGGTCTCCATTTAAGGCCCAGGATGCCCACTGTGGCACCACCTCCAGCCTCATCCCTTCAGGGTCTCAGGTGAATGGTTCACACCACTGCCAGGGACACAGTAGAGGGCTGGGAAGTCTAGGGACTTCTCTAGGTGTCAAAGGCTTGGCTATGCCCTTCGCTCTTCAGGTTTTTTTTTTTTTGGTCAAAAACAAAAGTGCAGATTCCTCTGCAGTCCGGAAACCAGTTCCTCCTGCAGTGCTTCCCCTGGGAGTGTCCTAGGCTCAGCCACAGCGTCACCCACCACAGGTCCTGCCCTACGAAAGGACTCATCACCCACCCCTGGCCCATCCCAGCTTGGAACATATATAAGCACTTGCTACAATCCAGAATCATACCCAGAGGGGAAGTGTCACAATGCTTGGGATCCTTTAGAACAGGACAGCAAACCACACGCGCTCACACTCAGTCACAGGCACATGCAGACACACACTTATCCCACCTTCCTCCCCACAACGTCATGCCCACAGCAGACAGGGCTGCTTTAGTGAGAAAATGAGGCCACATGTTTCGAAGGCTGCATCTTCAGGGACACAAGGATGGTCTAGGGCAGGAGGGAGGGTGGCACAGGGACATAGGACAGATGAAAGCATCTCAACTAAACACAGCTCTCTCTTCGGGGAGGGTGTTGGGAGGCCCAGCCTGAGAGGAGGGGGTCTGCGGTCAGAGTTACTAGGGGGCAGGGCCAGAGAAGACCTGCTGAGGCTGGATGGCTTTGAGTGAGAGGATAACTGGGTGACAGCAGGGACACAGGGCCAGCCTCTCCCTACTCTGGGAGGGCCCGGCTGCAGCTGCAGTTCCTCCTTCCCTGTGAGCTTGGCCACAGAACCCTTAAAGGAGTGTGAAGGAGGGCAGGGAGGGCAGGGAGCAGCAATTCACATCTGGACCATTCTCAGCACAGGAAGCCACTAATTAAAGATGCTCTATAGAAAACTACTTGTAGAAAAAGTAAAAGAAGAAAAAAATACAAAACCCAAACCAACCAAATAAATCAGAGGCAGGCAGGAAGACAGTCAAGGAGTTGAGTTAAACACGATCTGCTGCTCCGGGAGACCCTCCCATGCCATGCCTGGGCCAGGTCCGTTGTAGACATGACAGCAAGAAGACTGGCAATCTTTCTATACACATTTCTCTTCTTTCTTGTCCGCCTCTTCTTTCCTCTCTCCCGCTGGTGGTCTGGGGTGCTCTGAGGCCTGTAGGCGGCGCGTGGTCAGTTGGCAAGTACCACGGGCTGGAACGGCTGGCTGGGGTACTGCATGGTACTCAGATTGTAGCTTAGGCCCTCCACGAAAGGCGTCTTCTCCAGGAAAAGGCTGTTGGTGCCACCTCCGAACACCTGGGCCACGTCAAAGCTGCTGCCGTTGCAGGTGCTGGCCCCACTGCCCTGGCCATCAGCCCCATCGAAGAAGAGGCTGGGCGAGCCACCACCATTGTACACGAACTCCTTGGCATTGGGCGAGAGCTGGGACTGAGGCGCTGGGCTGGCTGGGACGAAGTTCAGTGAATGCATAGACAAAGACAGGCCCTTGTGCTTCAGCAGGTTGCTGGTGGGCGAGCGGGCCACGTGCGGCTGCTGTGGTGGTGGCTGCTGGCCACTTGCCCCACTGCTGCCTGCACTGCCCCCACTCGATGCCCCGCCGCCCTTCTTCATCTTGGTGGAGCCAAATTTGGTGGCAGCAAAGGAAGCTGTGGTGAAGGTGATGGGTTGTGCGGAGCGGGGGATGAACGTGGGGCTGGGCGACTGGCCGAAGGGTGGCGATGGGGAGCTGGACAAGGAGCTGTCCTGGCTGCCAATGGGTACAAACACCTGGGCGTCAGGGTTGAAGCTGCTCTTGATCTCCTTGTCCAGCTCGGGGGCGCCCCCACCCTCGCTATCATCCAGGTACAGCACTTTCACAGTGCCCTTCTCGCCAATCTGGTAGGATACCTCAAAAGGGTCGATCCAGACGCTCAGCTCCTCGGGCACGTTGGCCCGCACATCCTCCACTGCCAGGCCGCTCCGCCTGGCAGCCAGCTCCACCACGGGGTCTACCATCTCTCCAATGTGGACGCAGCGGAAGCCAGAGCCCTTCAACGGCTTGTCGGGGTACCAGTGGCCTTCGTATTTCTTTTTCAAGAGCCGCTCCAGCTCCTCCCCAAACAGATCTGCACGGCGCCGGGGCAGCTTGTTGTATAAGTAGGAGATGATGAAGTTCAGCGCCACTTTGATTTCCAGCTGCATGGTCCCTTCTGAGGCAGAATTAGGGCAGGGCAAGTGCACAGGCCGAGGTCGGGGGCAGGAGATGCACGGTGCACAGCCTCGGGCTCCAGATGGTCCTAGGAAATGAGAAAGGGGAAGAAGAAAGGCCCTGTGAGTAGATATGCAGGTGGTGGCAGCCAATGCTGAAGGACAGACAGCACCGACTCTGAGCCAAGCGTGGTGACAAATGCCCTGGATCTCAGCCACTTGGAAGGCCGAAGCAGGGAGAACACACTATAAACTGCCATACTTAGCAAATAACTATGATTTAAAGGTAAAAAAAAATTTTCTTTTTTGGTATCAGGGATTGAACTTGGCTCCTTGCGCTTGCAAGACAGGCGGCAGAACCACTGAGCTAAATCCCTGGCCCAGATTTAAAGGTAATTCTAAAAAAATCAAGGTGCTGAGTTTTCCACCAGCTTGAAGGTTACAATATACACTACCCACACTTTTTTTTTTTGGTGGTACTGGGGATTGAACTCTGGTCCTTGAGCTTGCGAGGCAGGCTCCAGAACCACTGAGCTAAATCCCCAGCCCCTTAGAACTCTTTATTTGCTGTCTTGAAGCTGTGCCCCCAAACTGTCTCAGCACAAGAGGCAAGTGTAAAATCTTCAGCTGTCTTTCCACGGACAGGGATACAGGTCACCGCACAGGAAGGAGTGCTGGCAACTCTTCACAGGGGCTGGGACTCCAGTCACATCCATCTGTCATCCAGGCCCCACAGCTCTGTACGCTCAGGCTCAGTCTGGGTTTGCAAACTGCCTTCCTGACTCCCCAGTGTGACCAAAGCCACAGAGACAGCCTCCAACTTTGGGACAAGAGCATGGTCCAAGAAAGAAGGCAAGATCTTGTCAAAGCCAGAGACTGGGGCCAACAAGGGGACAGACCGCTGTAAGGGAAAGCAGGGCGTGGAGGGTAGCAGTGTAGAGAGCACTCGAGAGCCGTGGTGTGGTGAGGCACACTTGCAATCTTAACCTCCTGAGAGGCTGAGGTAGGAGGATCTCAAGTTTGAGGCCAGCCCAGGCAACTTAAGTGATTTAGAAATGCCCCATCTCAAAATTTAAAAAAGGTTCGGGGGAGTGCGCAGCTCAGTACAAAAACTGTGTTCAATCCCTAGCATCTCACCCAGTACACACACACACACACACACACACACACACACACACAGAGCAACCGGGAGAAAGCAGAGAAGAAATTTTCCATCACCCTGCAGCCTGCAGCTGGGGACCCATCATCACTCAGTCTCCCAGGGACATCTGCCCACCTGTCCTCGGCACAGGGTCAGATTTATCAGGTGTTTGGAGATCCCTAGAGGCGGCAGCCAAGGTAAACACTCGCTTGATATTTTGGGATTCTCGCAGCCAGATGCCCCCCCAGGGCTAAAAGGCTTAAGCTGCTGGCCTGGGCTAGCCTAGGGTTTCAGGAAGATGATCTGTGAGGTCCTGAGAGCCAGGGATCCTAATCAAACTTTCTCTAAAAGTGGGGTTCACGGACTCACTTGGGAAGACGTGGAGCTGGAAAGGGGCTGGGGTGGTGATGCAGGGCAAGGACATGTCCCCAGCCAGATCTCTGGACACAGTTACGCTGCTGTGCTCAGCATGGAAACAAGAGGAAGAGCTGTGACCTGACAAGGGCAGCTGCTGGCTTGTGACAGACCCAGGGCTGGATTTTGATTCAAATCCCTCTGGTTCCATGAAGAGCAAGTAAGGATGCAGGTACTGACTCTAAGATAGGGACCCAGCCCCATGCATTTCCCTGTAACTCGCAGACCTGGGTCCACATCTCATCCAGGCACTTTCGGGACTTAAATCTTCAGGAAATTTCTGGGCTCAATGTGTCTGAGAAGATGCAGCATGGAGGTCAACCTGCAGCAGCAAAGGTCAATGGCTTGATGGGGTCCAAGCCTCCTTCCAGAGCTGAGGACACAGAAGGTTACGGAGGCAGTAGAGGCACCTATGTCTCTCCCCTGACTCAGCCGCCAAAGGCTCAGCATTCGGGAAATCTGGCTTCTCCTGTTCCAGTCTCCAATGCAGACTTGGCCCTCAAGTCTCTTCAGATGTCTACTCATGAGCAGGATAGACCAATTCCAAGGTCCTTTTAGGTTTAAGGAGGAGAACAATAAAAAAGAATAAAGAGCTGCTTATAAAAATTGGGTCTGTCACCGAATGCAAAGATAGCTTACTGGACAGCAGGCCTCCTCTAAGAATGGATGACTTTTTATTTTTTATGAGTCAGGGTCTCAGTCTGTTGCCCAGGCCAGTCTTCAAACTTCTGGCTCAAGTGACACTTCTGTCTCAGCCTCCCCAATAGATGGGACTGGTACACACCACTGTGCCCAGTTTAAGAAGGGAGGTTGGAGGGCAGGGGATTTAGCTCACTGGTTCTGCTGCCTTCCCAGCAGATACAAGGACCCAAGTTCGATCCCTGTTATCAAAAATAAATTAAAGGGAGGTATAAGGGCCATTCTGGTCTACTAGAGGTGTCCAGCAGAGAGGAGACTGAAAAGTTGTGAAGTTGGCATTAGTTGCCAAAAATGGACATGTTGTTAAAGATGGTGTTTTCAATGACCCCTTTTTTTTGGTATTAGGGATCGAACTTGGGTCCTTGTTGCTTGTAAGGCAGGCAGTAGCACCTCTTAGCTAAATCCCTGGCCCTAAAATTTTGAAAAATAAAACAGATGACATCAACACAGGACACTGCTCCCAAGGTACTGAGTGGCCTCAGTATCCAGCCCAGACCAAAGACCTTTCTAGGCCTCTTTAAACTTTGCTGTGTAAGATGCTGGGGATTTAGCTCGGTGGTGCTGCTGCCTGCCTCACAAGCACAACGTCCTGAGCTCGATCTAGTGTACACACACAAAAAAAGCAACTTTGTTGTATAATTACCTTTCAAGTTAACACCCCTTGAACTGTTCAGCCTCAAAAGGCAAGCATTTTAAATGTAGGCCAAAGTCATTGGGAAATAAGCCTCCCACCCAAACATACAATAGAAGCACTGTCATCAGCCCTGCCCGGTGAACCATTTTCTGCAGCATAAGCAACTAAAGCTTCGCACCAATTTATACCTCAGAGATGGTGCCACACAAATAAGGAAGCATATAATGCCACCTTTGCCTCTTTAACTGGAGAACAAGCCAGGCCAGATGGCTGTAGGGTGGAACCCAACAAATAGGCTGGATGACCAGAATAAGATTTTCTGCTCTATCAGCTAAGGCTCCAATTTTGACTTCAAGAAGCTTATGGGGGGCTGGGGATTTAGCTCAGTGGTTCCACCGCCTGCCTCACACGCACAAGGTCCCGAGTTCGAGCCCCAGTACCCAAAACAAACAAGAAGCTTATGGGGTAAAAGATCAAAGCACTGGTGCTATCATGTCTTCAACTAAAGATAGGCATGACCATTCGGGTGAGTTTGTTCATTTATTAGAAAGCTGTGTGGGCTGGGGATTTAGCTCAGCGGTTCAGTGGCCTGCCTTGCAAATGCAAGGACCCGAGTTCAATGCCCGGTACTCCCTTACCCCCCAAAGAAAGCTGTGGACAAACTCTAGAGTTTAAATATAAAATGTTTACAGTGGGCCAGGAATTTAGCTCAGAGGTGTTGCCACCTGCCTTGTGAACACAAGGTTCCAGAGTTTGAGAACCAGTACAAGAAATAAATATTTACAGAGATCTGGTAAGATTAGAAAGCTTACAAATAACCATCCTTCAATAAAAGAAACAAGTAGATTCATTAAGCAGCTACAGAGCACTCGAGATCTTTTCCAACTAAAACGTAGCTAAGGGGGTTGGGGGAGGGCAAATCTCCCTTTTCGTCAATGTATTAAAAGTTGCAAATACAAAGGCTTTACAGTTAAGAATCTTATCCTACTTCACTTTGGGCGCGGGGGGGGGGCACTGGGGATGGAACTTGGAACCTTGTGCTTTCAAGGCAGGAAGCGGAATCACTAAGCTAAAAACCCGGCCCCCTACTTCACTTGTTTACATCCACCCACAAAGTTAAACCTGGATGCACATCCCTGGTGCTGTCTTCAAAGAGTGTTTGTTCTCTAGACAGTCTCCCTTTGTAATGCAGGCTTGCCTTGAGCTCACTATGTAGCCCAAACTGGCCTGGAACTTGCAGATCCTGCCTCAGCCTCCAGATAGCTGGGATTACAAGCCTGTGCCAGGTTTCAAAGAGTTAAGTGCTTAAGAGAAAGACAAGAGAAGAGGTGGTGAAGCTGGAAGTCCTCCATCAACGAAGATTCTAGAAAGAACTAATGAGAGTGCGAAACAAGAATTTTAAGAAGAAAAAAAAAAAGGACAAGTTCTGTTTTAACAAGGGAAAGAAAGGAAAGGGCTGTGGGTGTAACTCGGTGGTAGGGCACTTGCCTGGCACCACACAAGGCTCTGTCTGGGTTTGATTCCCAGGATGAGGGGGCAGGGAGTTGAGAGGGTCAATGGTGAAGGAACCTGTTTGGCACCAAACTTATACAAATATCTAGGCACTGTAAACCTTTACCATCTAAATGCTCCGACTGTCAAGTACTCAATGTACTTAGATTCAAATAAAGGAGCGTAACAAAAAGGGGAAGGGGGCAGAGGGCAAGGCAATAGGTGTTACAGTTCGGTGGACCGGCTGCCCCAGGAGAGCCAAGGTTAGGCCGCCACCCAGACCGAAAGACCCTGGCCCACTCCACGGTGAGGGCGGATACAGATTTAAGGGAAGATGAGGGTTGAATGGCTTCTAGAACTTGTGCTGTCTGCACCCTGCCTAGTCTCCCATCATGTCCCCCAAACACAGTCCAATCAAGCTACTCAGGGACAGCCAGACCCGAGGGCTCTCTGCAGCGCAGAGTTCCAGGCTCAGCCTTAGCGGAGCGGGCGGAGGGCGGGCGCTCAGCACCCTGGGAGGCTAGTCCGGGGGACCTCGTGCGCCGGCGCGTGACCTACTTCAGCGCACACCACATTTCCCGGCACCGCTTGCGAGGCCGCCTGTGGTTTGCGCATGCTCAGCAGGGGTACCAGGTGGGGGGGGTCGAGAGAGAGCCAAGGAAGTTTCCGATGCACATGCGCGCTGGGGCGGGTAGCGCCCCCTCCCATCGCCTAAGACATTTCGTGTAAATTTACCCACAAGGCCTCCTCGTTGTAGTGCATCGCCCCACCACGTCCGTGTCTAGGCTTTACGAGGAGCTCAACTTTCTGCCTTTCCTCTTCACACTCTCCCAAGACTGCTGAATTAGGGAATCTACCTCTAAGGAGTTCGGTTGTTTTTAGGTGAAGGGTGTGGGCTGAGACAGATAAGGCCATGTCCCCCCCAACCCCGCCGCCAACCCTGAATCTTGATCTGAATCCCACGGGCTGGACTGGACAGTGGCCGTTTGGCGTTGCTGTAGAGATGGTGGGTACAGAGAAAGGAGACTTTTTCACTTAAAGCCCAGTGGGCTCAGCTCCAGCTCCCGCACAGCCAGGAAAGGAAAGGCAGGAATTAGACCCAGTTCTTTTGGTCCTCTTGGCCAAAGAAATTCCCACTTAAGCTGTAGGGAGGAGCCGGGCAGACAATTAGAAGGCCCGATGCCAGCAGGGCCCAAACCTCACCCCACTTCTAATCCAAGTCTGAGTAACTAGACCAGGGCGGGTGAGGGAAATAAATGGGAAAAGGTTCCCGGGCAGGGAAGGAAAAACTGTACGCCAGAAACCTGAACAACATCTTCTAACACTTAAAATTCACGGTATGAGTCTCCTCCTACTGCAAGGCCTACCCTAGGACTAGATTTACCATATCCTCCACAAAGCTCCCCTACTGGGTGTTAAACCTCCCTAATCCTTCCTCCCACACAAGCTGCTTTTCCCAATCCTTAAGGACGGGGGCAGGCACCCAAGAATGCAAGACGGTTGTTTTTCTACTGGAAAATGAAAGAAGAGAACCCACTTCCAGAGTAGGCTGAGAAAGCTAAAAAAGCTAGGCTAGACCCTCAACAAGCAACTGAGGCCCGGTTGGCTGGTCCCTAAATTGAAGCACAAAGTGTGGGGTTCTGGTTGCTCCAGGGGAAGGGGAGGGCCTGCAGGTTGCCCTTCTGTCTGCTCCCTCCTTTCCTTCCCCAGGTTTCTGGTCAAGGGCATGGCCCAACCCCTGGACAGGTAGGGAAGGAGTTTAGGGGAGTTTCCTCCAAGGCACCCCACCGAGATTAAGCAAAATCCACACTGGCAAGGTTCTAAGGGTACCTCCCCCCCCCACGATTTCCCTTAAAGCACAGGAGAGGATAAAGAGCTCACACTGCAATGAATTCTGGCTCAGTGGCCCAAAGCCAATCTCCACAAATCGGTCCCATCGCCAAAAACGGTCTCCAACTCCATCCCTGAGGCTCGATAAGGCCAGCAATACTAATAATAACCACCTCCCCCTCCCCGCACACGGAAAAGAAGCAGAAAAACAAGGCTTGAATCCCTTCCTCCTTCTAATTTATTTAACTATGGTGCGAGTTATGTTTCTTTGGAAAGCAAGGAAAATCTAGTATTTGGGATACGAGGAGCTGGAGATGGAGGCAAGGGAAGAAATGCACCCCACCCAGGAGGGACCACTGTTGGGAACTGGGATACCCCAGTGTCAGGGTGAGGGAGAAAAGCACAGGAGAAAGCGGGGTGGGGTGGGGTGGTGTTTAGAAGAGGAAAATGCTGGGCAGGCCAAGCAAGGGGCGACACCAAAGTGGAGTGCGCCCCCCAAGCCAAGAGCAGGCGTGGGGCGGGGTGAGGAAGGCGGTCGGGCCGGGGGTGTCGGTGGGTCCCCCGCCCACCTCCCCTGCACTCACTCGGGTCTCCGCCGCGGCCGGGCAGCTTCTCCTAACACGGTGGTCCTGAGCGCGGGGCAGATGTCGCTTTCCTTGTTTTCCCGGGAGCCGCGAGGCAGGGGCCCACTGTGTTCTTTTCTTCGTTGAGGCTGGAGGAGCGAGGAGGGGATGATGGGCGATGACCCTCAATATTATTCTTTCCGCTTTTTCTTATGGAGATCGGGGCTGGCGGCGGGGTACGGATGGCAGGCGGGCCGGCAGGCAGCGACGGAGCGGGGATGGTGGACCACGGGGTGGCTCACGTCGCGGGGCGGAGAATGATCCGGCTCGAGGCCGGCGAGCGGTGCTGCCCTTCTGACCCCGCGTCGCCCGAGCCACTAGCTGATCTCCGCCGACCACCCGCACCTTCCCGCGCCCCGGCTCGAAGTGAGCAAAGTCAATGAAAAGTTTCACCCTTAGCAACCCTGCGCACGGATCCGGCTTCCCCACCCCTGCGCGATGCGTCCCTCCGCCCTGCCGGGGCGGGGCCGGGCGCACAGCCGGGACTATTTCCTAGCGAGCCGAGCCTTAACCCCTGGGTACCCGGCCGAGGGCTTGGGGCTGAGCCAGGGGCCGGGCTGCCCTCTCCGGCTCACGGGTGCTCCCCCGAAGTGATCGCGCGGCCACCCTTTCCCGAGGCCGTCCGCCTTTCCGCTCCATCCCAGCCGCCACAGAGCCCTATTTCTCGTCTTTAGGTTCCCAGCCACTGTCTGAAATCTTGCTAACGTTGTAGGGTGCTTCCTCAGGTGGACATGAGCTCCGCGAGGGCAGGGACACGGTGGAAACCCACGGTGGCTGCGCTGGAAGAGTGGCTGTCGCGTGGAGGGGCCCGCAACCCGGGAGCTCTCCTCACCGACCCTTCAGCCCTACACCTGCCTGGGCGTTGACGGCTCTGGTCCCTCGCCTAGGCCACCTTGGCACGGACGTCCTTCCGACTCTGGGCGGCCGATTGTCTCCGCGGCAATCGCACCACCCTAGTTAGGGTCTCCTCTCGGGTCAGGGAAGTGAGCGCGACCTCTGGAAGCATTTCGGACCTAAACTGGGGTTTGCCTGAATCTTCGAGCACTGCGCGCCTCGTCGGGGAAGGCGTGATTACCCGCCGGGCAACGCGGCGAGGGGGGATTTGGGGCCGGGGCTAGCTGTGCGGAAGCCGAGTGTCACGATGAATCTTCCACTTGCCGCCTTCGGCTCCTGGTTCCCCGCCGGGAGAGGGCCGGCAGGGCACCAGCACCATAAGAGCTCGGTCCTCTGCGGAGGCCCACGTTTGCGTTCCCCGTCTGGCGACCCCCACCCCGTAAGGGGTAGGAGAACACGAGCCACATTTCCTGTAGTAATAGCCAGCGACAGGGGCAGGGGAGCGGGCGCCGGCCCTGCACACCCGACGGTCCCTGGGGTGGCGACGCAAGGTTCGCCAAACCCGAGACCGGGCGCTCCAGGTCCTCTGGCCAGGGTTTGGCCATGTAGGTCACTCTGCCTTTTTGTGACAAGAGGCGTAGGGTTGGGGGTAGGAGAGCTGTGTCTGGTAAGGTCACAGGAGGATGCACTGCCAGGCGGCTAGTGGGTGGGGGGCTTGCGCCCTCTTTAGAGGGCCCCTTCCTCAACTCTCTCTCCCGCTTCCTTTCTCATCCCTGAAGTTTCCAGCCCGGCGGCTGCCTCCCAACCCACGTGAGGTGGTGAGATCGGAGTTTCCAGTTACAAGCAGTTTGCATTTTATTTTCCTTGATCACTTTTTTTGGCAAGGGCAGAGAGCAGCGGTAGTGTGGGGATTTAAACGCGCTCTCCTTAACAGCAGCAGAGAATTGCCAGGCAGGAGGGCAACTCTACCGACCAGGAGGAGAGAGGGAGTCTGAGCCCGAAAGCCCCCATCCCCCACGCACAGAGCGCTCAGTCCCGGGCACCTCCAGGGACTACTTGCTTCGTGCGTCAGCGAAGGGCAGAGCGTCATACACACGCCCCCTCTTCGCCTTTCCTCGCTTCATATTCCCCTCTCCTCCCTTCTCCACCTCTCCTCCCCTCCGTGCGTATTCCATCCTGGTAAGGCCCAGCCCACCACTGTGCCTGGAACGTCGATAGCTAAAAATATAGCTTGAGCGTTAGCAACAGCATTCCCATTGGTTGGAAAGCGAGGCACCGCAGAGCTATTGGGTCTCAGGTTCAGCCGCTAGGACTGGGCCTTGGGGAGTGTGCGTTTGCGCAGTGGAGCATAGCAAGGGGTGCTGGTATTTGTAGTTGTTTATTAGAGGCAGCCATAGAATAAGTGGGTTTACATTCTCGTTCTGCCGCCTACGGTATGATCTTAATTTACTTTTTTGTTTTTTTTTTTTTTTTATACAGGGGATCGAGCCCAGGACCTTGAGCTTCTGAGGCAGGCACGAGCGCCACTGAACCACATCTCGAGCCTTTGAATGATCTTTTTTTGTATCGGGGATTAAACTCGGGACCTTGCTCTTGCGAGGCCGGCAGCAGAACCACTGAGCTAAATCCCCACCCCTGTATGATCTTAATGCAACATCTCCAAACCTCAGTTACCTCCTCTGCAAAAAAAGACACCATGTGGAGATTAAATGTACTGCATATAGGGGCTGGGGATGTAGCTCCGTGGCGCCGCGCCTCCCTGGCAAGTGCAAGGTCCCGAGTTCAATCCTTGGTACCAAAGAAGAAGAAGAACAAGAAAAAAGTACTGTATATAAAAGCCTATCTGAAATAGTTTCTATTCTTAACTTCAACATAACCATCTTCGCCAAATTGCATCCCACGTAACTTGCATATGCTGGTGGGCTCAGCTGGTGCGCATCGAAATGGCAAACCTTCCGGGACAGAATGACGAGAAAGGTGACAGCGCTCTGGAATGAGCGGTCCTTGTATCTGTGGGAGGAGGAATAGAGTATACGTAAGCCGAGCGAGGGCAGATCGGATCCCTAGGAGGAAGGCGTTGAGTTTCTGGATGCTTTTATTTGAAGCTGTCCTGTGGTGCTGTAAATAACACCAGTCCTGAGCAGTATTACGAAAACAGAGCAGGAATCCAACCTCCTTGGCAAGTGGGAGCGCTGGGCAAAGGGTTAACATATAAACAGGAAAAGCTAAAATAGAGGAGGGAAGACGGTAATCACCTTTCTTCATTGCTGATTCCTCTCCCCGTTTATCATGGGGGAGAAGGGAGTTTTTTCAGTCCCCAACGTGTGATTTCATCTTGCTAGGACTTAACTGTGAGCTAAATTTCTACTCCAGGATTCCTGGGTCCCCTCCAGTTTCATGCACTGAAAGGTACATACCATGCTTTCAAAAAGGTGAGCTGTGGTCGCCAGTGCGGAGGAGGAGGGCGGGGCGACTCTCAGAGCAAACCGAGTTCTGCCAGATGTTTTGGTGCCAGTGACAAGTACGGCTGGTCACAATTGGTCCCAATTAACTCTCAGGGTGAGTCATTCTCTCGTATGCACGAGCCAGGGAGAGACTTTTGTAGTTTTTAAAAAATTATGCAAGAAAATATTTTCTCAATTTGAATCTTTATTTATTGGCACTGGGGATTGAACCCAGGGTTTTTACACTTAACTACATTCTTAGCTCTTTATTTTTTTGTTCTGAGAGGAGATCTTGCTAAATTGACCAAGGTGGGCTTAAAGTTGCCATTCTCCTGCCTCAGCCTCCCAAATTGCTGGGACTACAGATGTGTGCCACTGTGCCCAGCTGTGGTGTGTGTATGTGTTTTGTTTTTTGAGACAAGGTCTCACTTTGTAGTTCAGGCTGGCCCTGAACTCAGTTTGTATCCCAGGCTGGCCTCAAACTTGTGGTGATCCTCCTGACTCTGCCTCCCAAGTGCTGGGATTACAGGTGTGTGCCACCGCACCCAGCTATATATATAAATATATATAATATATAAACAAATATATACACACACAAATATATATATATATATTTTTTGTTTGTTTGTTTGTTTTGGTACCAGGGATCAAACTTGGGTCCTTGTGCTTGCAAGGAAAAGTGAGCTGGAGATTTAGCTCAGTGGTACTGCTGCCTGCCTTGAAAGTTTAAGATCCTGAGTTCGATCCCCAGTACCGAAAAAAGTGAGTTGCCAAACAAATATCATGAGACTGTCAGATGTGGTGGTGCACTATAACCCCAGCACTCAGTAAACTGAGGCAGGAAGAGCTCAATGAGTTTAGAGCCAGTCTGAACTACATAGCCAATTCAAGGCTAGGCTGGACTAAAGGTATAGTGAGATCCTCTCTCAAAAAAAAAAAAAAAAATAGGATATTGCACACAAGCATCTTAGGTTGCCAATATCATGAGACTGTCAGATGTGGTGGTGCACTATAACCCCAGCACTCAGTAAACTGAGGCAGGAAGAGCTCAATGAGTTTAGAGCCAGTCTGAACTACATAGCCAATTCAAGGCTAGGCTGGACTAAAGGTATAGTGAGATCCTCTCTCAAAAAAAAAAAAAAAAATAGGATATTGCACACAAGCATCTTAGGTTGCCTCTTTTGTTTTGTTTTGTTTTGTTTTGAGACAGGGTCTCACTATGTAGTTGAGACTGACCTGGAACTTACTATGTAGCCCAGGCTGGTCTCAAACTCACAGCGGTCCTCCTGCCTCAGCCTCCTGAGTGCTGGGATTACAGGCGTGAGCCACCATGCCTGGCTAGGTTGCCTCTTGTCTTAAATTGAGAGGATCTGGCAAGACTGGGCATTCAAGCTGACAGCAATCGTCTGGTGTTGAGTAGCAGCTGTCTCCTTTGGCCATGGCCCATGCTCTCTGGTTGCCCAAGGTCTCCAGCACTCCCCGTTGAGGCTGAGAGTTGGTGCCCTGTAAAATCACACTTGGGCTATTTTTTCTTGTACCCCTCCCTTTTCAATCAGCTATTACTTCCACAGATTGCTGGGTAGGTGAACCTTCTTTCAATTCAGTGTATTTTTTGAGGGGTTGCCTATCAAGTTTCCTGTTATGGAAGGAGAAGCAAGTTTTTTTTTTGACAGGGTCTATGTAGTTCAGGGTGGTCTTGAACTCACTATGTAGCCCAGATTCACCTCCAACTCATGGTGATCTAGCCTCAGCCTTTTGAGTTCTGGGATCACAGGCATGTGCCACCATACACAGTGATTATCTTATTTTTCTGTGTGATGCTGGGGATTGAATGCAGGGCTTTGTGGATTCTAGGCAAGGTCTCTACCAGTGACCTTCATTCTCAGTCCTAAATATCAAGGCTCATATGACCTGGCTGTTTTTATTTTTATTATTTTTTTACTTATTCACTTTTTTAGAGGAGGTCTCACTATGCTCCTCAGTCTGGCCCTGAACTCTTGGGGTCAGGTGATCCTCCTGCCTCACCCTCTTGAGTGGCTAAGTAGAGGCATACACCCAGCAAACTAATTATTTCTCAATTTGGAATTGTCGTCTATTACTGAGGTTGTAAAATAGCCCAATTTAATAGATTTCAGCCAGAAAATTTAGAATAGACTGGAATAAAATGAAAGTATCAGAGTGCAATATGCACAGTAGCTACTGTTTCATAAAATGTTTGTGCATGTTCTATATAGGAACTGGACATAAGGCAACGTGAGGATTGTGGGGTGCAGTGCATCTGGAAAGTTTCGTGAGGCACTGGGGGACTGGAATGAAGGGGTGCTGAATTGGCTGGTGATGGGAAAGTAGAAGCAAAACTTCAGAGGAAACATCTGAAGAGGAGACTGAGAGTGCTCAGGAATAACCTCTCAATGCCTGATGGAAGACCACAGAGAAGAGGGCAAAGAAAACGTTCAGGGTAGGGGGACAGTGAGCCATTTAGGCTCTTCAGAACCAGGAATTAAATCTATCTACAAAGTAGGGGCCAATTGCAAAAGAACTACCACTTTTAGCTGGTCAGAGAGGCACATGCTACTTGGGAGGCTGACACAGGGAGGGTCATGAATTTAGGGCAGCCTGGGAAATTTAGGGAGACCCTGACCCAAAACTTTAAAAAGGGATGGTAGGGATGTACCTCAGCACGAGAGCACAGGAGTAGCGTGTCCTGGGTTAAATGTTGAGTCCTACCAAAAAAAAAGCCCAAACCTCAGCACTTTACCAGTAAATCTCAGTAAGGGTTGGGCACTTAGATTGAACCCTCACCACCTGAGGAGGTAGGCATTATCCAGAAACAGGCTAAATGACTTGCTGAAGGCCAATAGCAGAGCAGAATTTAAATACCAGTCTGATTACAAAGCCCACGCATTTCTCATTAACAACTGTTGTTGAAGCCAAAGCACATGTAAAAAGGGCAGTGTTGCCAGGTGTGGTGACACACACCTGTCACCCCAGATAGTTAGGAGGCTGAGGCAAGAGAATCGCCAAGTTTGAGGTCAGCCTAGGTAAAATAGTGAGACCATAAGACGGGACAACGTGTAAAGGAAATTGAATTGCCATGTATGTGTGTGCAGAGTTCATATGAGTGACAAGCTGGGAGCAGCCAGACATCCTTGTTAGAACGAACCCAGAATTGAATCCACAACTGAGTACTTAATAAATGACTAATAGCAAAAATAATCATAATCATAATTATAATCATACATCCAGGAGAGGGAAGGGCTGACCATGAGCAGTTAGTTCCATTATTTTGACTAGACCTGTGTAGGTAGTGATTATTTCAACAATGAAGATGAACACCAGTAATTGTCAAGACCGTCTGATGTCTCTGTGGCCGTATCCAGTTGGCTGAGATCATTTTCTAATCCTTTCCACACAATTGTATAACGTGGGTAAGATTCAACTTGTGCGAGAAGTCAGTACATTTGTTAAGCCTTATTTTGTTGTGGTCCTGGTGACTGAACCCAGGATCCCTCCAATGGCAGACAAGTGCTCTACCACTGTGCTGCATCTCTGCCCCTTCACCCCACTTTAATTCAAGATAGGGTCTCACTAAATTAACCAGGCTGGCCTTGAATTTGCAATACTCCTGCCTGAACTTCCTAACATAGCTGGAATTATAGGCATATGCCACTATACCCTACTCTATCCTGATTTTAATTGAAAGGAATTATTCTACTAATTCAAGGTAGCAAGTAAAATACTGAAGTTCAATACCTTTAAAATTATTTATTTTTAACCCATTCTCTGTATTCTTTTGCTGCCACCCCCCCCCTTTTGAGACAGGGTCTCACTATGTAGCCCAGGCTGGTCTCGAACTCGCAGAGATCCTCCTGCCTCAGCCTTCTGAATTCTGGGCATGCGTCACCATACCCGGCTCCCCTGCCTTTTGTTTCAGTGGACATTGAACTCAGGGGCACCGTCACACAGAGCTACATCTCTAGCCCTTATTTTAACATCTTCCCCCCTCCCCTCTCTTTCTAATTCAGGACCTTGTACTTTCAAGGCAGATGCAGCACCACTAAGCCAAATCCCCAGCCCTCAAGCCCTTATTTTGAAACAAGGCCTTGCTAAATTGCTCAGACTGACCTTGAACTTGCATTCCTCCTGTCTCAGCCTCCTAAGTGGCTGGAAATATATGCATGAACCACTGCACCCAGCTGCTTCTGATCCCTTAGTCTCTGGTGATTAGAAAGAAAACAAACCAAGAATGAGATTATGAAATTGGAGGACAGAGGAGCAGGTGTTAGGGGAATTCAAGAGGTAAGGCTGAATTTGCTCCACTGCCTGTCCTGTGGAAAGACTTTCAGAGCCTCTTGGGTGTTAATCTGAAACTCTGAAAGCCTTCTAGGGCCAGACCCACACCAGGTGCAGTGTCACATGCCTATGTCCCATCACTGAAGAGAGGCTGAGGCAGGAGGATCCCAGTTTGGCTTTTATTATTTCTTGGTACTGCGGATTGAACTCGGGACCTTGTGCTTGTGAGGCAGCAGGCGGCACAACTGAGCTAAAATCCCCAGCCCAAGGAGGATCCAAGTTTTGAGTCTCATCTAGGCAATTAGACTGTGTCAAAAAATAAGAGTTGAGATGTAACTCACTGATAAAGCACCTCTGGGCTGCAAACTCACCCCCCCGCCAAAGAAAAGAAAGGAAAAGAAAAAGGCATACTGAAGCTGGAATGCAGCTCAGGGGGCTTTGCTCAAACTAAGTAGCTTTTGAAATGTTTGTAGCTATGAACCACAGTGGGCAATAAGCAGTTGGAAGGCTGGAGATCCAGCTCCTTGGTACAGAACTTGCCTAGCAAGTACACAGAACCTAGGTTTGATCGCTGCACTACCAGAAAAAAAAGCAATTAAAAAACATTTTTTTGACTGGATTATTAACATTCCTCTGAATGGTATTGATAAATAGTTCAGAAGAGAAATTCAATGAAATAAAAGTACCAAAAAAAAAAAAATATTGTGCATAACTTGGTTTTTTTTTGTTTTGTAACTTGAATGGTATTGATAAATAGTTCAGAAGAGAAATTCAATGAAATAAAAGTACCAAAAAAAAAAAATATTGTGCATAACTTGGTTTTTTTTTGTTTTGTAACAATTTGACGAGGTGACAAGAGTCTGAATCTACCTGCGTAATATGTTGGTTTATTTTCAGTGCTTGAAAATACACTCAGATGTAATTAGTTACAGAAGACGCCATATAATTTTAAGTGAATCTGCATGCTGTAAATGTGTTTTAGGTCTAAATAAAAATGAAACATTTTTGAAATGTAAAATGAAAAAATTAAAAAAATAATTTTTTGGCAAAACATTTTTGTACGATATATTGACTAAAGTTACTGTAAAATTAGTTGATTATAATCTGAAAATGATCTCGTTTCTGCCTTTTGACACACTAAAACCCTGCATGGTTTTGCACATGTATAGTTGCAGGCTTTTCCGTGTGACAGGGTCTCACTTCGAAGCCCCGCAGTTCTGCGCCTCCTTTGCTGAGGTCTTCCCCCCACAGTGCCCTCGCTGCCCTGCTTTGACTTTGTTTCCGAGATCAGGTTATTACCTGGTTTACTTGACTTGTTCTTCACCACTGAACACCTGCGATTCGCTGGGCCAAACACAAGTTATTTTTTCGTAAAGCTTCCAGAGGACACAGGGTGCTATGTGGGAGTGCGGGGGGACGTTAGACTGCAGGCTGGGGGAGAATCTGAGGACCGTCTGGCGCGGGTCGGAAGGCCGTGTAGGAGTTAGCAGAGTGTGGCAGCAGGAGGGGAGCATTACAGAGGATCTGCAGATTAAAAAATAACAGGCAAAAAACCAAAACAAAAAACAGAACAGAAAGCAGCGGTTGAGCAAGGGGAAAGGAGCCCTGGAGGTGGGGGCGGGTGCAGAGCTCAGCCCCGAGCTCCGCCAAGCACCCTTCCTCGTACTTCCCTGGGCTGGACAGGAAGTGCAGCCCCTTATCCCTCTCCGTGGGGCAGAGGCCAGCTTCACTGCCGACACTTGGTACCTCATAATCAACCGTTTTGCTCACCCAAAGAAAACCCTAGACAAAGCAAGGCTCACCCAGTTGGGGTAGAGGCTTGTTTTGCCGTGCACACACGTGTAGAGGGAGTATATACGCACACTACCAACTCACAATTTAATTCTGTCTCTCTCCAGGACTGTCAGCCATCTCTTCAGCGCAAAATTCAAATTGGATAGGAAGGGAAAGTTTCTAAAAACGACTGATTTACCTCCCATTGACGACACGGATGGTTCTGAATTCATTCCAGGGGTTTCTCGAGCAAGGTACTCGTGAATCCCACTACCTCTATTTTGAGCCAGTAATTCTTGGATGACTAAAACAAATTCCTACTGTTAAGTTACACAGGGAAAGTGACTACCAGAAAATAAACACCAACTTTATTAATAGCAACAGAAAGGGTTTCCAACGTCTCAGAAGAAAAATAACTGAAATCCGCACCACACGGTGTTACAGGATCGAATGCTTGTGTCACCTTTGCTGTTCTGATAGCTCCCTGCCACACCCCAAAGGGCCATCAAAGACAAATGTCATCGGAGCTGCTGAGGGACATGCTGGGCACCAGGGGGACAGCTTCGGTCTGCCGGCCCCCATCACATGACTGAAAGGGACTCCTGCTAAGAAGCTCTTGGAGTAGAGAACACATCAATGTGGAGAACAGAGCCTTGCTTCTCCAGAGTTAAGAAAAAACATGAACGAACTCATCTATCGGTTTTTCCCGGGTAGCCAGGGTGCTCTGGGAAGAATCCTCTTCCAAGCCCACCCAGCCCACACTGGGGAGAGGGGAGGGGAAGGGGGAGTCTGCAGACACTGGCAGGCAGGAATGGGGAGGCGCTGGCCCAGCTCTCTCTGCGGAGGTTGTGGGTGTCTTTTCTGGCAGCTGCAGCGGCTTGATGGGGGAGGCAGGGGCCACCTGCCAATCACCTCTTCTTGAAGCCATACTTTTTGCGTTCATAGAAGAGGTCTGTCTTAGAGCTCCCCAAGTTGACAATCTTTGGGCAACCATCTCTCTGGGAAACAGAATAAAAGAACTGTAAGTCTTTGAGCCTCAATCCAGAGGGACTGAAGAGAAAACTTAGGAGGAACAAAGCTAAACCAGTCACCCATTCAAAGACCCTCACATTCAAAAAGGGTTGCTGGTGTAGCTCTTTCCTACTATGTATTAGGCCCTGGGTTCTATATCTAGCACTACTTCCCCAAAAGAAAAAATGACACCAATGTGTTTCTACACACATCCAAACATCCCCAGCTCCTTAACTAAGAGGCTCAGATCAGTTGGCCCTGCTCCATCCCTCTCTTGGGAGTACTGGTGGGGGACGTTGAGACAGGGTCTCACTACCTAGTTCAGACTGCCCTGTGTAGCCCAGGATGGTGTTGAACTCACAGTGATCCTCCTGCTTCAGCCTCCAGAGTGCTGGGATTACAGGCGTGTGCCACCCACCCAGCTCTCTGGGGAGTTTTCAACAACCATTTTATAACTATTGGGCTAATGGTTTAGTTATCTTTCCAGTTACTCTACTTGATTTGTCATCAAGGATTTATCAAACACCTAAAATAATCAATGTGAGTTCGATCCCCAGTACCAAAAACAAATCAAAGTATATTACATGGATGTATAGATCTGCCAAAAGGAAACCCATTAACCTCTATAACCAATATGCACTAATGATAAAAGATGTCACAGGGCTGCGGATTTAGCTCAGTGGTTCTGCCACCTGCCTCGCAAGCACAAGGACCAGAGTTTGATCCCTGGTACCTGCCCCAAAATGTGACAAAACACACAAGAGCATCTGCAGGGTCTGGCTGCTCTCTATCCAGTGGAATTACATTTAGAATGGTGGATTCTCGGCACACTTTTACTGTAGACACACACAGATGAGACAGAATCTAAAATGCTTGCTCTGTAGCCCCAGCTGGCCTTGAACACTCATCAACCCTCCTGCCTCAGCTTCTGGAGCTCTGGCATTACAGACAAGTGCCACTGTCCCCAAATGAAATGAATCTGAAACTCATGCCCAAGGATATTCTTCAAGTGAGAGATTAAGATACGGTTATCAAGCTGGACATGGTGGCACACACCTGTAATCCCAGCACTCGGGAGGCTGAGGCAGGAGGATCGCTGTGAGTTCGAGACCAGCCTGGGCTCCATAGTGAGTTCCAGGTCAGCCTCAACTACATAGTGAGACCCTGTCTCAAACAAACAAATAAACCAACCAACCAAGAAATGGTTATCAGGATCTCCAGACTAGGCCCTCCAATCTTCCTATACTGTCCCAAGGAGAGAGTAACACAAAAGGGGAAAACCTGAAGATGCCAGGAAATATTTTGCATTTTCAGTACTATAAATCCTGGGTATGATGTGTCATTAATTTGGTGCATTCTAAGAGCCCGGGGGTGGGGGGGAATAGCGCTCCTGTGCTAGCCCTGGCTGCTGACGGCTGCTCTCTGACTGGAAATGACAAGCTGCCCCAACAGCCTGTGAGCCCGAATGGTTTCATGAAGGCCCTGGGAAGCCTGCCGTGGGACCAATGACGCCATCTGCTGATCGGGGGAGATGGAAGAAAGCCAGGGAAGCTGAAGCTAGAAAGCCTGTGCAGGCCTGTTCTCTTCACCTGAATTCTTTTCGGGAGCTGAGATCAGCACGGTCTAAAAAGTTTTGTACAAGGCACACAGTGACATCGTCTGATTTTCCAGAAAACAAAGGGAACTGCTTCTCCCTGGCCTAAGTAACCATTTTATTAAACAAAGCAGTCCTTCTGCCTCAGCCTCCTGCAGAATACTGCTGTGAGTTCGAGACCATCCTGGGCTACACAGTGAGTTCCAGGTCAGTCTCAACTACATAGTGAGACCCTGTCTCAAAAACAAACAAACAAGGGCCAGGGATTTAGCTCAGTGGTTCCAGTGCCTGCCTCACAAGCACAAGGACCTGAGTGTGATCCCTGGTACAAACAAACAAACAAAAAAAACACACAAAAACACAGCAGTACTCTGAACTCTTTGGAGATGCTGGATGACAAATTTCAACTGTTCTCACTGACTCATCACCTCTCCCTCCCATATACCTCATTGGTGACAAGAGCCTGTGGCAGAATGGGGTTTACAGACAGATTTACAGAGCCCGAGAGGTTGCTGGAAGGCACCAGGCGGCAGGGACCTGCACAGCTCCGTCCTCACTCACAGAAGGACCTGGCCTTGGTCACTGAACCTCTGTTTAGTGACATGCAAAATGACTACAATGGGAGAACCTACCTGAGAAAATTAAAAGGATGAAATGGTTCCACAGACATGTTTGGAACAGCCCCCGACGTAGTCAGCCTTTCTGGTTAGAAGAAACTACCCAAACAAAATCAGCAGTTTCCACAGCTAGGCCCCACACTGCAAAAATAAGCAAGCAGCTGGAAACCAAGGCATTACTCTAGCTCTTCCTGGCTTCCTGGGCTTTACCATTTCCTCCCACTCACAGCTTCTTTATTTCACTGCCTAAATGCCTGTTTGTTCTTTTCTTACATGTTTTCCAGGAGTTTCCTGGTTGTCCCCGAGTTGGGAGGACTGTTAAGAAATGTTGGAGACCCGAGCATGGTGGCACATGCCTGTAATTCCAGCACTCAGGAGGCTGAGGCAGGAGGATCGCTGTGAGTTCAAGACCAGCCTGGGCTACATAGTGAGTTCCAGGTCACACTCAACTACATAGTGAGACCCTGTCTCAAAAAAAAAAAAAAAAATGTTGGAGAGAGCTGGGGATGTAGCTCAGCAGCATAGCACCTGCCTGGTAAGTACAATGTCCTGAATTTGATCACTGGCACCAAAAAAAGAAAAAAAAGAAAAGAAAAGAAAAGAAAAGAAAAGAAAAAGAAATGTTGGAGGCCAGGCGTGGTAGTGCACACCTGTAATCCCAGCACTTGAGAGGCTGAGGCAGGAGGACTGCTGTGAGTTCGAGGCCAGCCTAGGGTACATAGCAAGACCCTGTCTCAAAGACCATAAGCAACAAAACAAGAAATGGACAGCCACGTGCAGTAACAAATGACTGTAACTCCAGCTACTTGAAGTAGAAGGGTTAAAGCTGAAAGCCAGCCTGGGCAACTTACTGCGACTCTGTTTCAAAGTAAAAATTAAAAAGAGCCAGGTGTAGTGGTGCACGCCTGTAATCCCAGTACTCTGGGAAGCTGAGGCAGGAGGATTGCCAAGTTCTATTCTAGCCTGGGCAACTTAGCAAGACCTTGTCCCAAAAAAGGCTGCGGATGTAGCTTAGTGCTAAGACCGTGGGTTCAATCCCCAGGACTACACACATACATACACACACATTTCATGTGTGTATGGGGGTGCTACGATGAGTTTAGCATGGCCTGGGTTCAAAACCCCGTACTGCCAGACATTACCAAGCTAGGAGCCCCACTGTGGTGGCTCACTCCTGTAATGTAATCTCAGCAGGGCTAAAATTTGTTTATTCTGGAGTACTGGGCATTAAACCTGGGGGCACATGCATGCTGTGTGTACACTCTACCACTAAGATACAATCCAAGGTCTGCCCCTCCAAACCTGTCATCCTGTAATCTTTCCCCTGTAATCCCAGCACCAAGAGGATCAGAAGTTCTAGCCCAGCATGGGCAACTTAGAGAGACCTTTCTAAAAAATAAATAAATATAAATAAAATGATAAAGAGATTAAGGCTATAGCTTGTTGCAAAGATTCTGGTACAACAACAACGATAAAAAGGTAGCAAGGAATGGTGGCAGATGCTTGTATTCTAATCTGGAAGGCTGAGGCAGGAGAATCACAACTTTTATTGCAGTCTGGGCAATAACTTCCTGAGATCCTATCTCGATATTAAAAAGGGGGGCTGAGGATGTAGCTCACTATGAGGGCCCTGGGTTTGATCTCCAATACAAAAACAAAACCCCGCAAAATAAAAAGTTAAACAGCTATTTTTCTTACTCTGGTTGGGAAGAGATGAGGAAAATGCCAAGTTAAAGGAATAAAGGGGACCGGAGATTTAGCTGCCTGCCTCATAAGCACAAGGACCTGAGTTTGATCTCTAGTCCCGTCCCCCACCCCTGGCCAAAAAAGGAATAAAGGATTTACGGGTTAAGGTTATTAGCATGGTGCTGCACCATAAGAAACAACTTTGTCCACTGGTACCGCCATTCATAGCTACTGTCCCAGACTCCTGATCGTTCTTGTGGCTTTGAGAACTATAAATGAGGACACCTAGCTTAGCTTACCGGCCCAATTCCCTTATAAATCATGCAAACTGCAGGAAGAAGAGAATAATGGGGGTGGCTTTTGTTGTAGGAAGATTTCTGCATAGGAAAATGCCTTGGGCCTTTAATCTACATGATGATCTGTAAGGATGAGAGGCTAGATCATGTCACTGGACTGCTTTGTGTTCCTTGGAAACTAGTGCTGGGTAAATGTGTGTTAGATGTCATCTCAAATATCCTCAGAACATTCCTGTATAATGTGAAGTTGGGGGAAGTGACATCTAGAATAATTCTCAGAGACAGATATGAAGCCGGAGGATCCACAGATACCAGGTCACACACCACATGCAGACAAGTCAGATGGCAATTAACATTTATTAAGCATTCTCTGGTTGCAAGCTTATGCCAGCTAAAAACTCTAGCTATAACCGTGCAGAAGTTTAAGAAAGTGTTGTCCTTAAATGGACTCTGGCTAGTTTAAGATTTGTTCATTCCTTCTCTTCACTACTTTTAAGACTAGCAGTTGTAACTGCCAACACTTACTCTGTATCAGCATAGATACTCTCATAGATAACGCAAAGCAGAAGCCCCAAAAATGTGTACCATGCTTGCCCTAGAAGTCAGGCACTGTACCAAGACCTGGGAAAAGGAAAGACAAATACAAGAACCAAGGTCCCTCCCCTGAAAGAGTGTAATCTAGCTCAGGGGCCAGATCCACACTTGTAGAACACAGCATATGATAGGACAGTCAAGGTAAGTGCAAATCAGAGCTAAGAAAAGCAGGATGTGGGCTGCGGATTTAGCTCAGCGGTTCCACCACCTGCCTTGCAAGCGGAAGGTTCCGAGTTTGATCCCCAGTACCAAAAGCAAAGCAAAGCAGGATGTTCCAATCACCAATTGAAATCACATTTTTGCTACTTAATCTATGACTCTTCTCATTTTCCTAAACAGATTCAATGAGTTTAGAAAGTCTTGTCTGGTCCATGATCTCCACAAAGACTGCCGAGGTGACTGGGTAATTTTTTCTCACCACGGTACACACTCGAAAGGACTTACGAAAGGACAACATGGTATAATGGAGACACAAGGTTTAACCAGGCTGGCTTTGCCACTTATTGGTCAGGAGAGACCCATAAAAATGAGATAGATAATAATAATAATAATAATCATCCCTATTTAACCAAGTGATTGTGAGGAATGAGGGAGATAGCATGTCCAAATGACCTATTCTTTGCTAATGGGAGTATGAAGAACTATGTATGTATTTTTTGCCTTATCCTAGGTTAGATAACCACCCATATACTCTCTGTTTGCCTAGAGGGAGTGGGACTAAAGCAGACTTCCTCTGGTCATAAGATGAAAACAAGCTGATTCATGGTCCTCCTCTCCTCCAGCTCCCCCACGATGATGCTGTATTAATTTAAAGAACAAGGGTAAAACGTGCCTTTGGCACTTACCCAAGGCCCCTCTCTTGGCCTTTGGGTCAGGAACGGAATAAGTAGACAAGTCAGGTATGGTGGTGCATGCCTATAATCCCAGCACTCTTCGAGGTTGAAGCAGGAGGATCAAAGGTTCCAGCCTAGCATGGACAACTCAGTGAGACCGTCTCAAAATAAAAAACAAAAAATGGGCTGGAGATGCAGCTCAGCAAGAAGGCCCTGGGTTCAATCCCCAATACCAAGGTGGGGACAGGGAGGGGGCAATGCCACTATATAAGAGCAAAAACATGAGGAAGACCCACAAGCAACTCTGCAATGTCAAATAAAGACCTTCTTCAGCCACTTAAAGCTGAAATGAACTTGAATTATGCCAAATTCAATTTTGCCACCACACCCATCCCAACAGTCCTTAGTAGTAGATTTATGGCTGGGGTTTTAGCTTAGTGGCACTGCACCTGCCTTGCAAGCATAAGGTCCTCACTTCAACTCCCAGTACCAAAAAATAAATAAATAAAAGAAAAAGAAAAATAGTCGTAGATCTATGAGAGCCACGGAATGGCTGTTATACACTATGCACTGTGTTACAAACTTACAAATGCAGAATGTTTCTGAATGAGAAAAATCACAAAGAAACATCAAAGGCACAGAGAGCGGGCTCTCCAAATTGCTGGTGTTGACAAAGACTTGCTTCTGTTCCATCTTTTGTCCTTGATGCAAAATAACTGCCCTTTATTGGACAACATCCAGTTTGGCTCATAGAGCTTAAAGAAATTATAACCTAGGTAACTAGCTGCTGAATACAGTAATCTCCAGAGACCAGAGGACACTGCTGTGGATAGCAAAGTATGATACAGTAAGAGGAAGAAAGGTCAGATGAAAGGTCTGTGTACACTTACATCCTTCTCCTGGATGGTGCACTCCTTGCAGTAATAGGCATCAGAGACTCCTGGGCCTCCACAGATCACACAGCGCCCCTGGTAAGATCCGTAATTACACTCATCACATATTCGCACCAGGGTGCAGGGACGCACATAGGAGTCACAGATTACACATTTGCCATCACCTATAAGGAAAAGAGAAGGGACTCAGGTTCACTAGCTTCCTTTCTTCTATGAGAAAATATACCAGTCACCTTCACACAGTGACTGTGACCCTCTTCGACTCTGGCATCACAAAACATATTTAGCATCCATCTCAATCTGCTCAACACATACAGTACATTAATGCGCCAGGTTTTGTGTGCACACCTGTAGTCCCAGCATTCTGGGAGACTAAGGCAGAGGATCACAAGTTCGAGCCCAGCCTGGGCAAGACCCTATCTCAAAAAAAAAAACCAAAAAACCGCAGGGTGTGTGGCTCAGTGTAAATGCCCTGTGTTGAATTCTCAGTACGGTAAAGGAAAAAAAAAAAAAGTCAACTAGAATATGTAAAGGACTCAGAACAGCACCTGGGAAGTCACAGTTCTTTTTTTTTTTGAGACAGGGTCTCACTGTGTAGCCCAGGCTGGTCTCAAACTCACAGCGCTCCTCCTGCCTCAGTCCCCAGCGCTCTGTGTACACTTACATCCTTCTCCTGGATGGTGCACTCCTTGCAGTAATAGGCATCAGAGACTCCTGGGCCTCCACAGATCACACAGCGCCCCTGGTAAGATCCGTAATTACACTCATCACATATTCGCACCAGGGTGCAGGGACGCACATAGGAGTCACAGATTACACATTTGCCATCACCTATAAGGAAAAGAGAAGGGACTCAGGTTCACTAGCTTCCTTTCTTCTATGAGAAAATATACCAGTCACCCTCACACAGTGACTGTGACCCTCTTCGACTCTGGCATCACAAAACATATTTAGCATCCATCTCAATCTGCTCAACACATACAGTACACATTAATGCGCCAGGTTTTGTGTGCACACCTGTAGTCCCAGCATTCTGGGAGACTAAGGCAGAGGATCACAAGTTCGAGCCCAGCCTGGGCAAGACCCTATCTCAAAAAAAAAAACCAAAAAACCGCAGGGTGTGTGGCTCAGTGTAAATGCCCTGTGTTGAATTCTCAGTACGGTAAAGGAAAAAAAAAAAAGTCAACTAGAATATGTAAAGGACTCAGAACAGCACCTGGGAAGTCACAGTTCTTTTTTTTTTTGAGACAGGGTCTCACTGTGTAGCCCAGGCTGGTCTCAAACTCACAGCGATCCTCCTGCCTCAGCCTCCCAAGCGCTGGGATTATAGGTGTGCGCTACCACGCCCGGCTTGGAAAGTCACAATTCTATGTTAACTGCTGGCAAAATGTGTGTGTACTTGTGTGCTTCAACGCACACGCTAGAAAGGTTCATGCTACTCTGGCAATTTGCATATCCAAAGCTCGAGATTTTCTCAAACCTAAGTGTTTCAAATGCACAAGTTGGAAAGAAAAGATGGAGGCTTTGGTCGCTGGCATTCCACATCCATGTACTTCTAGGTATATCTACTCTGGAAATGCTCCCTTGCTGGCTTCACAAAAACTGAAGTGAACGGGTGGGGTGTTGGGAGGGTGTGTTCCACTCACATTTTTCACACAGTCTTCCGATGGCTGAAAAAAATCAAAGAAGGGAAACAGTACAATTACAATTAAGGTTTTTGACGAGGCGGGGGAAGTACATTTTTTAGTTAAAGGTAGGGACAGATGCAAAGAAGGCAGGGAGCCCGGTAGGTCAGGCATCTCAACCTCAGATTACACCTGAACCAAACCTGATGCTAGGGTCACCCTCCTGAAGTTCCTCCCAGTTCTCAGGCAATCTGAGTTTCTCTAGGTCAAACCCAGACGCGCACCCTCGCCCTTGCATCAGAGGTCACGAACGCGCGCGCTCTTACAATACCCAGCAACCGTGAGGCGGGAAATGTGGCGTCCTCAAGGCAAGCCCTAAGGATACTATGGAAACCCCTGGTCCACACCATCTCAACCCAGACAGCCCGGATCAGGGCGCCGTCTCACCAACACCAGCCTGCTTGCGGCAGAAGATCAAATCGGGATGATGTTTAGCCATAACTCCTACCCAAGAGGGCTACCGGAAGTCCCGGTAACTTCCTTCCGATCTTTAACCCCTATGGAATCCTGCCTCCAGGTCGCCATGATTGGTTCTAAAGGCTTCCATCAGCCTGCACAATCGTTGCATTAAAATCCCTGTAGTTCTCGCGCGAGTTTCCACGCGGCTGGACAGCCGGGTCCTGGCAGGTGCAAAAGGTTTTAAAAGGTACTTTCCCAGATTTGGAAGGAATAGACAACCAGAACTTATTTGTAGATAAAACATTTTTGTTTCGTGTAATCTTCAAGTATTTTTGTGCTGGGTGAACTCTTGGTCTTGATGTGTTTCTACAAATTTTGTTCTGTTTTGGTGTGGGGGATCGTACTCAGAACCTTGCGGTTGCGAGGTACGAGGCAGCACCATTGGGCTAAATCCCCGGCCATACAAAATTTTTTGTATGTTGTTCTTTTTCCTCTCACGAGTTAGTTCCTTTCTCAAGAGCTCCGCCCACCGCATTGGGGAGGGCTCTGTCGCCCCTAGGGAGGCCTCGCCTTGGCCTCGACGCGTCGCTCTTCAAGCCACGCCTCTTCCCAGAGCCTTTAAAGGCGCCGCTGGCAACGTCACTTTCACGCGACCTCATCTTTGTCAGTGTACAAAATGGCGCCCTACAGTCTCCTGGTGACCCGGCTGCAGGTGAGCGAGTTCAGGGCCCTCTGGATTACGGGGGCGGGGTGCTTCCTCCCGTGCCTGCGGCGCTGGGCGAGGCAAAATCGGGCCGGCCCAACGTCTAGCGGATTTTTCGTGTGCAGGTGCGGGTTGCGGTCCCAGCACCCTTCCCCGCTCCTCCGTTGCCCTAGGTCAAGGCGTCCCTGGTACTCAGCTCTCTGGGCCCTGTCTCCGCCCCACGACAAGCTTGTGTCTGAGCAGTTCCGGCCTGGAGAAGAGTAGGGGCACTTCTTTTTCCTTTCTGAGAACCACTCTCTCCTCTAGGGTGTCTTTCTGTTCCTCAAGGTGAGGACAAGGTGACGGTGGGGGGGCGCAGTGGTTTTTGAGCCCTTAAGGCCCGGTGCCTGAAGTCTTCAGTTCTCATCTCTTAGTAACAGAGACTTGCTAGCCAGTTACATCTACGATTGCCAGACCTGGAGTCTGGAGAAGCTGGTAGGTACCGTGTACCACTTTTAAAGGACCCTGCGGAACCCAGAGCCGAGAGTGGGAGTGTGCCCGATGCTGAAAACAGTAACAGTCGTTTCTTACTAGCACCCGATTTCAGGACTTTTCATATCTTCTAATACCGTTTGATTGATTAGTCACCTTAGGAAACAGATGAGTTTTCCCACTTGGTAGGGGATGAAACTGCAAGAATGTAAAGTTCCAGCTGTCAGGTTATCTTCGAAGTTTTCTGTAATCCGCGTGGTAATCCTTTTAAGCCCTCATTTTATTCATATCAGCCTGTCCTCCCAGAACTTTCTGATTCGGAGTATGGTTGCTTGTGTTTATGAGAGTACCGAATGGAATATTTGGAGGAGTTAGTTGGTTTGGAGTTAGTTGCTGTTCAAATACTAGAAGGGAGGGCAAGGAGACTCAACAGTTTGACCTTGACTCTACTATAATAAGCTATCTGGAAAGTTGACTGTCAGGAGTTGTTTCACCCCTAACTTAACCTCACAAGGTGTTATATTCAGAAGTTCGATGTGAAATGTGTATTTTGTTAATAAAAATAAAGCAAATATCTGTAGACATTCTGTGTCAAGCTTTTACAATTACCTTTGTGACTCTTTTGGGTAAAGTGTCATAGATTTTGATTATAGAATTAATAAAGAACCTTTGGGCAGTCTTCAGGAAGCATTGTTACTTGCAGTTATTTTCATCACTTTGCTCAAATTTAAACCATACAAGCATTTATCTGAAAATACTTGTGATCTCAATTCTGAGAAAACACAAGGAACTTGTACCCATTTATCTCTTCACGTCTTTTGAGTCTCAAAATTAATGATGTGGACATACTTGTTTCTTCTTTTCCTGCTATCTTATGTCTTACTGGAGTCAGGCAAGATTATTGGATATGATAAGTGACTTATTGAGCTTGGAAGAAAGGAATCAATCATGTTCCTTTTTTAACTGATAAGGATTTTAGAAAGTATAAGTGTTAGAATAGTGTAAAAAGAAAACTGGGGTGTAGTTCCTGCTCCACCCTAGTCCTGTGACCTTGAGCCGTGTATTCATTCCATTATCAGTTGGGGCTGATCTTTATTAAATAAATATTAAGTACCTGGATTGCTTTAATGTGCTGAGCAAGTAGAGTATGTTTACAACCACGTAGTTTAACCTCTTTTTGTAGGTGGAGAATCCATGATCTTGAGAACCTGGATGACTTCCAAAAGCAGAGTCAGGATTAAAATTCAGGTCTACTTGTACATTCATTTATCTAAGATGAGTGAACAGTATTACATATTCACTTTGAATTACAACAGTGCCTAGATAGCCAGGCTGACTCAAGTAATGATCAGCTAACCTTGACTGAAAATCTCCATGTTTGCCTCTTTTGTGTTAAGATGCATGTGAAAAGTTATGGTAGTCATGTCTGCTGAACCCTACCAATGCAGTTTTCCTACTTCACCACATATTTTCTGAACAGCCACTGCTTGCTCTAGAAACATTGTTAAGCAAAGAAAACAAACCTTGCTCTCATAGATTGTCCACTCTTTATTTATTTACTTATTTATTTAGGTACTGGGAATTGAACTCAGGTTCTTGACCTTGGGAGGCAGGCTGCAGCACCACTGAGCTAAATCCAGCCCCCCCGCCCTTTTTCTATGTATTCCAGGCTGGCCTCAAACTCACTGCAGTTCTCCTGCCTCAGACCCCCAAAGTGGGATTACAGGTGTGCCCCACCACACCTGGCTTGTCCACTCTATCTTGATGTCTATGGCAGAGAGCCTTGGGTATATATATTTCTCAGCCAAAATAATTTTTTTCTGCCCTTGAGTGGGCCAAATGATAGAATGATGGCTATTACTGTTGCCATTAAGAATGGCTATACCTCACAAGTGCAAGGTCCCGAGTTCAATCCCAGGTACCAAAAAAAAAAAATAAAAATAATGGGTATCATTTACTTTTTTATTACTAAAAGTAGCTATGGGGCTGGAGATTTAGCTCAGTAGTTCCATTGCCAGCCTTGAAAGCACAAAGTCCTGAGTTTGATCCCCAGTACCAAAAAATAAAAAAGTAGCTATCTTTATCTTACTGTGTGCCAGTAATAGCTCATGACTGTGGGATAAGGCAGACCTGTTATTTTTTATAGACAAATGAGAGAGGAAATACAGTATAATGATTACTAGCAAGGACTCTGGCATCTGACTGCCTGGGTTTGAGTCCTGGCTCTAATATTGAGTGGCTGTTACTTTGAACAAGTTACTCACCTTCTCCCGTTTCTTCATCTGTAAGATACCATAGGATGTCAGTTTTAATCACATAATAGTTACAGAATATTTAGAACCCTGTCTGGCTCCTACTAAGTGCTATATATTTGATGAAATAAGTTAAATTTGCATAGGACTTGATCGCTAGTTGTTGGCAGAAGTGATTTGGACCTGCATTATTCTGATTCTGAAGTCTAGCTGCTAACACTGCATTGCTTCTCTTTGGCATTAACACTGCGAACACCGTTGAGTTTCCATAGCCTGAGAACAGTGCTGAGCTGAACTCTACTGCCTACTGAGGAGAAAGATAAGAAACAAACACCAGGCATGGTGGCACATTGCCTGTAATCCCAACAGTGAGGAGACTGAGGCAGGAGGATCACCACAAGTTCAGGGCCTGCCTGACTACGTAGCTCAAGGCCAGCTTGAGCTACATAGCCAGACACTTGTCTCAAAGAAAAGAAAATGGAAGGGAAGATTTTTGAAAAGCTGTGTTTACTCTCTGGTTTTTAATATGTATTTTTGTGCATATAACTATAGAAGGTAAATGAGAGAGGTTGAGACTTTAAATACATTTCTCAGTCTGGCCTTGCCTTAAGTACTGGGGTTTGAATTTTCCTGTGACCTTGGGAAAGTCAGAGTTACATGGCTTAGGAAAGTCACACAGCCACTGTCATGTGAATCTGGGGTGTCAGCTAGCTACAAAGAAGTCTGACATTTTTGGCAGAAGTTTTCTATAACACGCCGTGCTTTAAAAAAAAAAATGGTGGTGGGGGTGTACCAGGGATGAACTCAGGACCTTGCGCTTGCAACTTGATTTGAATTTTATTTTTATTTATCTATTTAAGTACCAGGGATTGAACTCTGAATCTTGTGCTTGAAAGGCAGGTGGCAGCACCACTGAGCTAAATCTCTGGTCCAAATTTTATTCTTTTATTTATTTATTTTGTTTGTTTGTTTGTTTGTTTGTTTTTGAGACAGGGTCTCACTATGTAGTTGCGACTGAACTGGAACTCACAGCCCAGTCTGGTCTCAAACTCACAGCGATCCTCCTGCCTCAGCCTCCTGA